TCAAGCCCCACAGCCCTGCCACCTGTGACAGAGCACCACACGTGAGATGGGGCTGGGGGGCTGCAAGGGCGAGGGTCCCATGCCACAGCCAGCCCTCACGTGGCCAACCCCAGCTGCATCCCCTCACAAGTGGCGCCCAGCCCACCTGTGTGGCATCAGGGTTGCTCTCCACCACCGGGAAGCCGTTGTGGTTGGAGGAGGTGTCACTGAGGATGTCCACAACCGTGCCGACTCGCTCGATCCTCCGCAGGCAGGTGACAGGAGCGCTCATGACCTCCCTGTGGAGAAGGCTCAGTGGGAAACACAGCCCCACAGCAGCAAGCCCCAAATTCCCACACCCCTGCCCCAATGCACACCTCCTCCATCCCCATAACCTGCCGGGGACACAGGGAGGGAACGCACCGCAGGCCTCGCTCCCTACTGTGGAAGGGGCTGGGCTGGCAGCACTGGGGATGAAACCACCTCCATTTCCAGCTCAGGCCAACAGTGTGGTCCAGAAGCTGCTGCCCCAGGAGTGATGAGCATCCCCCAGTCCACCTACCTGGCCGTGAGGGAGTGGGAGGTCACCGGGGCCTCCCAGTGCAGGAAGGGCACGCTCTGCAGCTGGATGTGCATGTCGTAGAGCCCCTGCAACAACAGCCAAACCATCAAAAGCCTGGTGAGATGCTGAGGGGTACAGCCAGGCAGCAGTTCCCCTCCAAGAGGGACCACACACTTGCCCTGGCCCCCCTGCAGCTCCCCAGTGCCCCCAACCCACAGCCTCTCACCAGGTCCTGGGCTCCCAGCAAGCACACCAGCCCTCACCTCCACAAAGTAGTCTCCCACAATCTTCGCCGTCATCAGCACTAGCATGATGGGGAAGCCATAGGTAACATTGCCCGTCGCCTCCATCATGATGACCGTGAGACTCAGCGTCATCCGCACTATCCCACCTGCAAGAGGCACCCAAGGGGGTTGGGGGTTTAGAGGGGCAAGGGGATAGCAAAGCACCCAAGGTCCCTCAGTCTCTGCATGGTGATCCAGGACTGCCTGCACAAGCAGGGGTGCCCTGGATGAGCCCAGCCCTCCCTGGTGCCCCAGAACTGCCCGTCCTCAGCAGGGTTACCGGGAAGCCGACAGCCAGGCTGGGCTTCAGCTAGAGAAGAAGCTGTGCCAGGGAAGCACGGACTGCTTTTTCCCATGCCACCTTCAGCCCAACTTGAGCAGGAGGTGGCCAGGACTGCGCCGTGGGGAACTCACCCAGCTGTGCGGCAGCTCCCATCAGGGCGTACTTCCCGGGGTCAGCCCAGATCTGAGCACAGGAGAGAGAAGGGGCTGAGTCAGGGGCTGGCTCCAGGTCATTCAGAGGTAACAAGCAGTACCCTGGCGCCAAAACCCCCCTCCAAAGTGGGGAGGAGTACCTGAGGCCGCCTGCACAGCCCAGCCACCAACAAGGCTCCATCAGGACATGGGAAAACCCAGACCCCACTCGATCTCTTCCTGAGGTGGGAGTCAACCCACTCCACACCTTTCCAGGCTGCTGTGCCAGGCTCTTAGCCAGCTCCATGCCTGCTGCTTGCTCAGCAGCGAGGGAGGAGGGCTGGGTGCCATGTCTCCTCCCACCCAGCGCTCCTTCCCACTGAGCACCCACCGAGCCTTTGGTCAGGTAGGACAGGGAGATGCCGAAGAGCCTCCCCCAGGCAGCGCCGATCAGCAGGGAGGGGATGAAGACCCCCGCGGACACCGTGAGGCCATAGGTCCAGCAGGCCAGGAAGAAATACATCAGTGTGAACATGCCCAGGGTCATGGGGTTGTAGGAACCTGAGGTGGAGAGAGAACGGAGAGTCAGTGCTGGTCCCGCAGCCCAGAGGACACTGTGATGGGCTGCAGCCATGGGAGAACAGATGGCAGCAACCCCAAAACATGCTCCCAGCAGTGAAAACCCCTCTCATCGGGTGCACCTTCCTCCCTGGCAGCGCAAGCCTTTCAAACTGGGTCTTTAGGTTGTTTCTGCCCCCTCAAGGGCCCCGCCAGCCAGCCGGTGCCATTCCAAACCCTCCCATCCCACCGAGTCTAGCACGTGCCTTTCCTCCATCTCGCAACCCATGATGACCCATCCCCTCCCAGCCCTGCGGTTCCCAGTCTCCTGCAGGGCAGCATGACGAAATCCAAAGCCCTGAGGGACCGCCAGTGCTGGAGGGCGAGGTTGGGAGGACAGAGGTGCTGGTGAGCTGGCAGTGGTCCTACCGCCGGCTTCGGGATCAACTCAGCAGAGTAGGTCCTGCAAAACCCCCTCCCACCCCCACAGCTCCCCTGGCCAGTCCCAAGCTGCCCCACGGTGCAGGCTGTGCCATCACAGCGAGACCCTGCTGTCCCCAGGACTCAGCCTACTGCTATTTTAGGATTGCTGAGCAGCTCAGTCTAGTTTAAATGAGTACTCTGCAACCTCTCCTTCACAGAGAGGTCAATGGACCAAAGCCCTGGGCCAGGGAGGACCCAGCACTGCAGGGAGCAATCCCGAGACATGGGATGGTCATCGCTTGGCTTCAGGGGGCCAAGCTGCACTCTCTGGGCTGAGGGTCTAAAAATTCAGAGCTGTCTGCTCCCTGCCCAAATACAGCTGGGCACGAAACTCAGATGAGCAGGCAGAGGGCACTGTCATTACACTAGGTCCAAGGGAAATAGGAGCTGGAACCTGGGAACCAAATTGCATTTCTCAAGCAAATCCAAACCCCAAGATCCACCTCCGCAACCTGCCCAGAAAATGAAGTCATTCTGGGGCAAAAGGCCCTGCTAATTAAGAAAGCAGCCAGGGACATTTCCAGGACGGACTTCAGACAGCCAGCGAGGGTCAGACGTGCTCCCGCGCAACTCAAAAGCGACAGCTTGCAAACATGCATGAACAAAACCAGGTCCTCATCCACTGGCTCCTGAGACCATAGCCCTTTGCCTGAGCTCGTAGGTGCCACGAGGTGCAACATCCATCCCTCCTCCTTCCACCACCGCAGGAAAGGAATGGGCACAGGGCTTTGCTGGACCCCATCGTGCCCTCATGGAGCCGTGCAGATCATCCCCTGCCTCGTCCCACAAACAGCCAGGTAACAGGTCAGCCACCTAGCACAAGCCCAGCCCCGCTCTGCTCATGTTCAAGGACCCACTTGCCGACTGCACAAACCTGGAGGGTCATGGAAGAGGTTGACAACGCTCTTCTCAGGTGTGTTGAAGAAAGCAGTGGCCATGGAGTTGTACTCTCCATCAGCGCAGAAAAGCTGAAGGGGAAGAAAAGAGAGAGTTAGAAGTGCTGGATCCGGGCTGCCCTGCGGCAGGAGAAGGCTGCCAGGCTCAGGGGAACATGTGCTGGCGAGGAGGCAGCTCTGTGCAGCAAGCACATCAACACCACACTTGGGTCTTCAGCTCTGCCCCGTGGCAGAGGGCATTCACTGTGAGGTCCAGTGCCAAGAAACTCAGCAGGGTCTCATCTCCCTATTCAGCCCTCAGTTCTCCACCATTTCCTACCTGCAGGGGATACGCCACCGTGCTCCCCTGGATGGGCTGGCAGTCTCTTGAGCAGTAAATCATGACAAACCCCACAGTTGCTGTCACTGCTGCCACCAGCATGGCCTCAACCACCTGGAGGCAGGGCCGGTGGATGTACCTGTGAAGGGAGCAGAGAAGTGAGGGTGGCACCCAGAGGTGTGGACAGGATCAAGGATCACCCGCAGCCTGGCTTGGCACGCCACATTGGGCATATGGCTCTGCTTCTTTCCCAGACCTTGCCAGGCTGTCCTGCGCTCTTCTGTCCCCTGGCAAAGCTGTTGTGGGGACCTGGGGTAGAAGGCCAGTGGCAAGAGCAGCTTTGCCCAGCCAGCTCCAGCATACCTGCCTGCCTCCCCCTGCACGGAGCTGGGCACAGCTCCCATGGAAAGGTCGGCACAATCTGGCTGGGCGGGACAATGCAGAGCCAAGCCCAGAAAGCTGCAGCCCCTGAAGGTCTAAGAGGAGCGATGCACTCAAAGCTACTGCAGGTCCCTCACTGCTCCACTGCCACAGGTCATCCCTCCCTGAGGCCACGAGGCCGGTCCTGGTGTTTGAAAAGCTGGTGACAAGCATTGCCTGTGCCAGACTGGGCTCTGATGGCTTTAGCAGCTCTCTCCAGTCTCTCGTTACTGTCAGAAGCACAGAACAGTCAGGTCTGCACAGTGTTTGCCCTTCTTTGGGCCTTCAAGTCACTGAAGGGAAATACTTAGCAGAGCAATGGTGGGATGCCGTGGGTCACAGCCTCAACCACAGGCAGCGAGAGGCACATGGTGTCTTTGCCTCCCACCTTCCAGGGGCTGCTGTGGCTCACATTAAGCATGAGATTACAGCCTTGCTCTGGCTGGGAACGCCACTGCAAGGGAGCAAAGAAGGCGCCAGCCAACCCATGTCAGTCACCTTAGTTACCCACGAGCTCTTACCTAATCCGGAACATCGTTAACCAGTAATTGAGGGCATTGAACAGGGCCCCGAGGATCCCACCTGCGAATCCAAAAGACAAAAAGCTCAGCACACAGGTCCCAGGCTCTCCTACAACTGCCCAGGACACAAGGAACCCGTAAAGCTTGGGGAGACATCAACAACCCATCCAGTGTGACCAGCAGCCCCAGGACACATGGACGCTGTCCCTGCAGAGGCAGCCAGGACCTGACACCAAGAGGAGCCCGGCACCAGCAGTGGGGTGGCTGGGGGCCAGCATCACCCCGCTGGCACGAGACAGGCGAGGGATAGCCCAGCCCTGTGGGAACAAGGGCAGCTCGTTTGAAAGCAAGGAGTCACCCACGACTGCAATGCACTGACCCCTCTCGATGCCTTTGGAGTACGTGGAATAAAGGGTCTCACCTTTGCTACAAGGGTAAGGGCTGAGCCAGGATCTGGCTCTCACCCCCATGTAAGCCCCACAAGCAGCCTCTGCTCCAGAGTTTAATGGATTTCCCATTCTCCCCAGGAAACTGGATCCCAAAGCTTTTCAGACCCAGCCAGAGAACAGAGGAAATTATTCAGACCGATCAAATGGAAAGAGCAGCCCTCTCTTACCAACCACTCCCATAAAGATGAAGATAGGAATTTCCTGGATTGTGTATCCCATTTTCTGTAAGCAAGAAAGAAATGGTTTTCAGATGTCCTGCCCATCTGAGCCCTGCAGGCAGTCACTGTCTGCTGGGATCGCACAAGCCTGCGCCAGTGAGCGGTTCCCAGAGCTGCCCCAAAGTCTCCCCTGGACACCCTGCAGCCCCCAGACCCAGCAGTGGCTGCAGAAAAGCCTTCTGCTGGGGCTGGTGGAGCTAGAATCTGGCCAGACCCTGCAGCCTGCTAGAGCAGAGCTTACCTCAGCCCCTGAGTGATGTTTTAAGACAGACTGGTGGTCCCAAGCTGCTGTGGGCTGCTTCTAACCTCCCCCCCAACAGAGCCCTACATGGGGAATATCTGCGCCATACCTCATTATCAAACCTGCCAAAGTTGATGAGCCCAGGGCTGGAGAGATCCCAAGCGTTGCCGTGGTAAACGCTCAGGACAGAGTTCAGCGTGAATGTAGAGATCATGGAGGCAAAGAACTGGAAGGAGATGCAGCTCAGAGTCACTTCCAGATGCCTCCAGCCCTGCTCCCTCACCACATGCCCCCCCCCACCACCCCAAACCATCCCCCTGAGGCCCTGGGGGGCCACCCACAGTGCGGTGGGGACAAGAGGCCATTTTGCCCGTGGCAGCACCCTGGGCAGCTTGCACCAACGAAGGGCTCTCACTCCTTTTGCCTCTCTGTTGCCCGTAGCAGGGCAAAGCCCAAAGCAGCTCCCTTGGAAAGGAGCTGGCAGCAAGATGGAGCTCAGCCAGGTCCAAATTCAGCCCCCAAGGACCAGGGCACAGAAGGGGGCTGGGGTGCCATTCCCTGGGATGCGTTACACACAGCTGCCCAGCTGGGGCAGGGATGGCTGGAGGCCTGGGGCTGCAGGGCATCGGGAAAAGGCAATGCCTCACGCTGGAGCCAGCAGCCCTCGATTTCCTGCTCCTGCTTTCCAGCACTTACGATTCTCCACGTCAGGAACTGGTTCCAGAAGGAAGCCCCTTCCTCCAAGCTGAAGAGGACACCCCCTGCAAATGCAAGACACAAACACCTTCACAAGGGGCGCGTGCCACAGACCCTTGGCTCACAGCACCAGACGAGGCACCCAAATTCATCCCAGCCCATGCGCCCCACACTGCCCCAGACCTCACAGGCTCCAGCAAAGGGACCAGCAAGCCCACCAAGCCATCAGTGATGTCCTGATCACAGTGAAGATCACCCTCCACCGCCCTCCTCCATCCCAAGGAGGCAACATTTGGGATCCGAGACAGATGAACCCCCCCACCCTCTCTTCTCAAGATCCATGTGGCACGGCAGGACAGCTTGGAGTGGAGCTGGGCACTAGGCAGATCCTGGCAGCTGCCTCCAAGCAAATGGGAGCAACCTCCTGATGAGATCCATATGCAGGCACCGCCTAGCATCAGAGAGCCCAGACACATACCCACGGGGGCACCAAACGCAGCCGAGACGCCAGCAGCAGCTCCAGCCGAGACAAAGTCCCTCTTTTCCGTGTCTCTGCGGAAGTACTCGAAGATCTGAAACACCAAAGCGAAGGCAGGTTTAGGGCTGGCCACAGGCGTGAGTTTAGGGGAGACACAGGGTATGCCTCATATGACCCCAACCCACCAGCATGACCCCGAGGAACAGCCCGGTTTGGGCGCAGGAGGGGCACCTGCAGCACAGCCCCTTGGCCCTCAACACCAACCTTGAAGTCTCGCTTTAAAGATGTGGATCTTCCCTGGGAGATCCCGGCAGCGATCACCGCTCCAGAGTGAATCATGGGTCCTTCCTACAGGCAGGAGAGCAGAGTCAGATCAGGGAAGGAAGAACTCCAGGGACAGTCAGGGGCAGCTGAATGCTGCTCACCAGGTCGCAGCCCTGAAGAAGCTGGCTGGGAGGATTTCCCTGTGGAAAATACAGACCTGGCCATTTTTCCCCCTGAGTCTAGCAAGTGGCTCCTGTGGCCACCTCCTGTTCCCACCAGCACTCCCTCCAGCCAAGGGGACAGGGTCATCCCTTGCCTGCCTTTGATCCCAGCAAGCTAGAAAGGTCCCAACAGGGCACTCAGGCCACCCCCATCTAACATTTGCAGGGACAACCA